ATAGCCTTCCTGAATTTTCAATTCAAACCAGTAGTTCCCGAGATTTGCCCGTTCAAACGAACAAACAAACTCTTCGGCTTTATATATTTGGATATATATTTGTATATTTTTCTTAGATAGATGGACAGGAAAGGAAAGAAAAACCGTTAAATTGTTTTATTTAAACCCGTTGAATATTAGCCAGGCATACACGAACAAGCTCGTCAAGGGCTTACAAGTTACATTGGAGATCAGAAGTGGAATCTATGAACGCTGTCGTGAGTACGTTACCCAATATAGTCCGCCCACCCATTCTGGTGTAGCGTAGTGGGTTAGCAGTGCTTAAAACGCAAAAATGTCGCTGATCGCTCCGCTTGTGACTCGACTCCGTGGGGTGGTAGGAGTTGAACGGCGCGCGGTAATTTGTTCAGTAATGGCTCCCCCGGTGTATCTTTAATCTGTTCACTAATTGGATGGCCCACAGAGATGGACTCGTTCTGTGGAAAATATCTCTTATTTGCTGTAATTAATATGACAGAATGGACATAGTCTTTATTAGTTATTTATACTGTGATATAGGCTGCTAGAGGCAGAGTGGCCTAATTACAAAAAAAATGTATTTCAATAAGGAGGTAAATAAAAACGCAATTAACTTAGGCGAAAATGAATTTGTACTTTTGTGTATGAATTATGTTAATAAATTTCGGTGGCCGTGCTCTTGTAGATTAACATTTTTAGACCATGAAAATATAAATAAGTCAAGTCATAAAATACAGTTAGGCTACTCTGCCTCATATGATAGTGGGTACCTATATAATTATTTACAAAAGTTGTAGCTTGGTTGCCTAAAATGTTGTGTCGTGTTGAGTATGAGAGGACCAAGAGCAAGCATCAGAACAGAATTAAACATTGCTGAGCATAGAAACTTTTTATATTTTTAGCGTAATGCAAAATTCACGTTAGGTATCAATTTTTAATATACCTATAACTGTACCTATAATATATTAATTCAGAAGCCTGTGAAGATACTATGTTTCTGTTCTACGGTAATTACATAATTTTTAGGTTATAAATACCTTGAGTAACTTAAAATATCGAATTAGGCAAAACGACCATTAAAAGAAGTAGGTAAATATTAAGTAATATAATTTAAGGTAATTTCAGCTATAAGTCTAATTTTATTAAGTAAGTATTACGTTGAGGAACCAAACACCAGTATATTTGATAAATTCTTTGTCAATGCATTTAATTATTTAGAAATAGTTCATGAAAATACTTATCAAGGATCTTTAAAAAAAACAACCCAGGTACCTAGCATGGCACTAAACAAGTTTAATTGTGTCTTAAAATACTTATGTTTATCTATTTCATATTTATTATGTAAATATATGTTTGAAGTAAAAATGAGGCTACAAAACGAAAATCTAGAATGCCGGAACTGGCAACACAGGAGCGAGTGCAATAAATGGCAATTTTCACTAATCATTGTAATTAACGCGTTGAATGTTTGTCAGTCGTAGTCTAGGGGCTTGCTGTGCGCTTTGCCTTTTTTCCTTTATGAACGCAGTCAGTTCAAATGGAAAACAGAGGAAGGCAACTAAGACACCATCGTAATAATCAGACTAAAAACATGTGGTCTGTAGTAAAGCTACTGGACGAATTATTAAAACCTTCGAAACATCATAGCATAAAGATTATCTTCACGTTTATACACATCTATTCATTGATTTGACGAGAGACAAATTAATGACGATAAAACTAAAAATATATTGAAAACTATAAAATTCGATTGAAAAAAAAGCGACACGGTCTTGAACCGGCGTCGTCAGCGGTTAGAAAATTATTCTTTGGTTAATTAACTTCAGCTCTTAGACTAAGGGGGGGTTTATGGGTGGGAGAACAAATTAAAGACATTAAGGCGCTAAGAAATGTCTGATTGGTAGCGAACGGTGTCAGGGGACAGCATTTGTCTTATGTAAATAGCCATATATTGTGAGGGTTGTTTATCATTTTGTTTAAAATCTGTGTTTAAGGATACAGGTACATTAAGCACACATAAAATTGAACGACAATTATTTTTCTTTGATTATTTTACCTTCTGAAACATCTCCTGTCTACAACATACCCCATCTTTCAAATTTGACGCGTTTCTATTTAGTTCAATAAAAAGTAATACATTTTTAATTGAAACGAGGCATAGATTAGTTATATTACAATTATTTTAACTACGGCCCGACGTTTAGATTGAAATAAGTTAACTTTTATATTTTTAGGGTTTAAAAACCGATAGAAAGTTTTCTTGATATTTTAAGCTTCACAATTACTGAAATAAAAACTTAAGTCGCTGTCGTACAGCAATGGTAATAACTTATTCTTCTTAAATATTGCTAATTACTTTTGAAAGCAATAATTAAGCATGCATGTATAATGGATATATTGTTAATTTTATTTGTTATCAGACCTATATCCACGTAGACTTAATCTTGTAATATTTATTTAAGAAATGGAAAAAAAATAATCTCTTTTGGTAAGCTTATTATAGCGCCATCTTGTGAGCAATTTCAAAAGCTTTTGTTGTGACTGAGGACATACATACTTAGTTCACTAGATGGAAGGTGAAATGCTCCAGCCATATGAATCTTTTTGCTATATAATGCGATGTCGACCTATTTTTATTTTATAAAATTCGGAAAGTAATTTATTGTAAACGTAATGGCTGACTACGATATAAAAAAAGAAATAAAACACGCAATGTATACGCTAAAATCTTTAATATTAACAATTATATACTCTACTGTCACAATAAACTTTCTTAGGAGTAATATTATAATCTACGGGACATTGCCTTAGACGATAAACTGTCAATGTCACTTTTTGGTATTTGACAGATGTCATTGTGGTGAGCGTAGATAAACTTCCTCTTTGTAATCTGTGGAGACACTTAACTACGAGTTAGTAGGACGCGGAGAACCACAACTTAACACGAAGTCTATTAATTCTTAACCAGGTACAATTATAATAATATAAATATCGCTTATGTAGAATTGAATTCATTCAAGGAGACTATTTTAACTGTATAGGAGCTTCCGAAAAAAATAGTTGTTTCATTATCTTCATTTGTTAGTAGACCGTACGTCCCTTGAAATAATTCCATCTAATTAAAGGAACTTTAAATTAAGTTTGCGCTGACACCACAACGTTAATAAACATTAAAAAATAAATATACGCACATCTATCTATACCTTTTGGTTTTCGTATAGTGGGCATTTGGTGAACTGAAACTAATTCCATTATGCAATGGGCAAGGACTATACAACCTTTATATAGCATGCACACTCTTTAATCTATGGCTTTTTCAAGCGAAGACACTGATATATGTAGACAGCATGCATACATGCAAGAGATCGAGATTAACGAGGGGGCAAGTCGCATCATTGTCTCGGCTGAAGTGAAACTTTTATCAAATTTATCAGCTGAAGTGGATAAATATAACTAATTCATGCTGGTGTTGCCTTTTTTTTGAATTTACTGCCTCCAGTTTTGTGTTAATTTTAAACATTGCATACAGCCTAACAACACTTCGTAAATGTATATAAATATTTCGACTACGTGTGTTCAAAAATCATTGAATACAAAACACGCCAGTTTGCAATCTCGACCATTAATAACAAAAACTCAATCTTCTAAAAGGCTTCTCTCGAAATCTTAGAAAACCAAAAAAAAACGAATCCTAAGTCTTCACTTATTAATTATATTAAAAGTAATATAATGTATAACCTAAAGGACTTATACAGGACTCACTTTTTAAATCATCTTCGTTATTAAGTACACGTTAACTTTTGAGGGGACCGATTCTCATAATCGTTCGATAAACCGTGCGCGACATTATATCGAACGATTCATCATGTCCCGAGGCGATTAAAATATATACAAAAGCACCCAACATAAATTCTATGCACCGAACTAAAAGACTAACGCTAAATGTAACTTGTAATGACTAGGTTTTTTCCGTCATGAGATCTAGATCATCCAAAACTAGGTGCGCTTAAGGACGCGTTCTTAACGCTTCGTAACAAACTTAAGAGATAAAGTACAATAAAATTTCAATATTCGCTACCACGAAAGAAAGTGTTCTCAACAATAACAATTAATAGAAAATAATTTGTACAACGGCTGCATTAGTGGTCAACATTTTAGTTAAACATCATTATAGTCATCTTACAAGTTCATCTGAGTGTAATTATATGATAGTATATTCTTGACTCTTGTGTGTACGATAAATGCTTTAAGCTATTTCTTCGGACCGTGTTTGACAAAATATAAAAAAATATTTCATTAGTCACTCGGTCTTGTATCGTGAACGAGAATCAAATTATTAATAGTGTGTACTTTAAATATAAACTTTGTGAGGCAGCCCCGAAAAAAATAACTATAATATACAAATACTAGAAAACCTAATGTCCTACCTATATACAGAAAACCTAGGTTAGGGACAAAATGTATGTACATTTGCATATTATCTATAAAAAAAAAACACAAGTTTTTGTCGCTCACCTTGTCTTCTATACGCGAAACAAAAGATTTGCAATACGCTAACGACTTTTTGTTCGCGTTTTTTTAATCAATAACATAGTTCAATAAAACAAGGACGCAAAAATATAATTATATAGATGTGTAGTTAATCTAACAAACAAGAAATTGGGCTTAAACTCTATGCAAAATAAACACAAGAAAAACAAATTAAAATTAGCAAATAACAAAAAAGTGATACGCGTAACGTACGATACTCTATCAAAATGTCGCACGACAAAAAGTCGCCCGCGCATCAGTTGCCTACTTATAAAGCCGTTTCTAACAACATCGACTATTGCATGTCCTAGAAAAAAACGTAGATATGTTTGAACATTTATAAGGCTCGCTTTGTGGAGTTTCATTGGAATGGACCGGATGTGGGTAGTTTTGAAATCATGGTACCACGTGACTCCACAAAACTAGCATGAATTATAGAATATATGTTATATTTAACGACGCGGGTATTTGTCTGGGTTTGGTCTTCGTGGTGGATTTAAAACTGAAAGATAATATCGTTAATTAGTGCATATATATATATATAAATAATTTAGAAAAAGCTCGTTTTCCGGGGCACTAGGACGCATGTCTGCGTCGGTATCACTGATCTATTTTAATTTTACATCATTTCACTGTGGGATGACTAAATACCTGGATGGACAGGCCCAGGTGACTGCCTGCACCAAGTCCCTGGAGACATCTGGAAACATAAATCATACGTTAGTCGATAACGATAGAACGTTCCACTATATTACTCCCATGATCACGTGACTATGAAAAAGATTATTAGATACTATCTGTAGTTTACGCGAGTGGTACACATTTAAATAAGACCCTTTAACGAATTAAAACGCGAAATATATTAGAGACACCCTCCATCTTTAGTCTCCCCGTGACCACGGCTACTGCAAAGCATCCGAAACGTCAGGTCGTAGTTAAAATATAATTTTCAAATAAGTTTAACTAACACACTTTGAATGTGTACTCGCGTAAACTACAGACAATTTAAACCTTAGTTTTGTAGATCTTTAAAAACAAAGCCTGACATACACACCTGTCTAAACAGGTATGGCTGCGTGATTTGCATCGGGTAGGTGTCCCTCAACAGCCCCCTATTTCTGTCTCTGCCCCCCCGGTCCGGTCTGTCCGACCGCACGACCGGTTTGTGCTCCGCCCTCGGGTTCTCCTTGTCCTCGCGGTCCGGCTTTAGCTTGTGTTTAAATTCTGGTCTCTGTTCAGTTCTGGTGTCGTATCTCCTACTTGAATCTGAAATATCGAAATACAATTAAATCGTGGATTTATTCATTTAACAGGCTTACAATTTTTAAGATAGATCTCCTTTCGTTTAGGAAACAGTTTTAAGAGATTAAACCCATACAAAGTCTCGTCTCGTGTTGGAGACGGTTTTTAGAGATTAGACTCAACGCTCTGGTCTAATCCCACACTAGGGTAAAGGTCTTTTCGCGCTTAGGAGCGGGCTATAAGAGCTTAGACGCACTACACTGCGCAGGTGGTTAGGACTTTAACCATGAGCATCGCTTAAGATAAGACCCACTAAAATAACATCGAACTAGGGTCAAATTCCTTTACGTACGTGAAAAAGAAATAAATACTTACAACTATCCACGCTATGAATATTCCTTATCGAATTGACTATGACCCTTGCGACCGTATTCAGCTGTGGATCGTCGTTCGTCGTTCTCCTGCGCAACAAAAAGATTATTCAATAGTTGTTGAATAAACTCGAATGTTACTAAACGATGTCACGTATACATTTTAATAAAATACTTTAATACGCGAAACGATAAAAAAGTTAATCGTCTATGTATTTACAGGACTAGTTTCTAGAGATACCAATATCAACGAAACAGATGGCGCTAGCGTAGCGCATTTGATATTAGGGGCGCCCACCATCTTGTGTGATCTATCATGTTTTACGTTTTAAACCGTATAACGTCTTTAAAAGTCTTAGAATCTTGTATATGTTAAGCTCAGCGACAGTGGGGCATAATAATTACTTTGTTTTTATTTTTATAAGAAAAATATGAAAAGCATAAATTAATTTTTTATATTTTACATGTTAGTGCACAAGCTGGCACTATATAAATTAAAATTCGCTTTTAGATTAAAAGAAAATACATTTAGAGCAACACGGAACGCTGGGGACGCACGTGTCGTAAATTTTTTCAATATAAAATCGATATATAAGCATAAATTAGTATTATAAAAAAATTTTAGTACACGGTAAAATTTTTATCAATGACTGATATATCTATCACCAAATCGATATGGCGTGGAAAGTTAACGCCCACCGACCATTTTGTCCTTGTTCTTTGTACGTAATTGTGGAAAAGAGACAACGATCCACGACGAGCAAACTCACCGATGAATCCTCCCGTTGTAGTTATTCGCCGGATAGCTGCCAAGGATTCCGCTACCGCTGTTGTGCGAGCGCCACTCTGTTCTCTTCTCACTTCTCTCCTTCGTATTCATTTGCGCCATCTGAAAGGAAACGAATGAGCAAACATAATCGACTCTGGGGTATGGGGCGAATACATTTCTGTATCCGTTTTTATATTGTATTTTATTTACACACTAGCTGTGTCGGCGTAGAATACTTATTTTGGGCATCAAATTTGTTTTTGTAATTCTATAAATTAAACTGCTGTGTAATTTGAACCTTCTTCGCAGCGTACGCAACGAAAACCCACAAAGATTAATAGATCTCCCGCTTTTTTTCACATTTCCCGCTGTTTCTTTGCCCTTATTAGTCGCAGCATGATGTTTTATAGCCTTCCTCGATAAATGCTGTTTAGAGCGTAAAGAATTTTTCAATTTGAACCAGTAATTTGTGGGATTACCGCGTTCAAAAAAACAAACTCTTCAGCTTTATATATCGTCAAACAGGTACTAAAAGTAAAACTAACTTGTTCCTTAATCTGCTGTATTTTAGCAGCGATCTCCTTTGTGTCTGCGTTATCTTCTTTCTTCTCTTGCGGTGTTTGAGGCGTGTTCCGAGAAGAGTTAGGGAGAGAGGGGCGCCTCCGCTGCGTGGGGTTATTCCTGTGGTGCTGCTCTGGTGCTTTCTCAACAACCGGGTACACTGGTTGACACATGGGGTAGGGTTGCGGCACCATCTACGATAAATTACTTTCTGTACATAAATGACATTTGCTTCTTTACTGTAATTTTGTTTTGTTCTATTTCTTCATGCAAAGGTTGGCTGGAAGAAATCGCAGTAAGGTAAGGCCGCTTTTGGACAAACATTTTTTATTTTGTATATATTATTTTAAATGTCTATGTCTTTATATGCGTTTGCGCAATAAAGAGTTATATTATAATTAATTAATTAAGTAAATAGTAAAACAAACTACATTAGTCGCAACTAACTGAGATTATAATAAAAGGTCACTGTATTTGGCATTTAAAACAATACAGGTGAAATTATAGTAGTCGTAAAAAAACAATAAGTAGAGCTTAAAATACTCAGTTATACTAGTAGAAAAACAATGCCCAAAAGGGTCTTACGTCAGCATAAGTTGCAGCACAGTTATGTTATAATACTGATTTTCAGCAATATTCGTCTGTTAGACAGCGTTCATAATAACACTTAACATTTTCTAATAACAACGATGGTAAAGTAATGAAATACTACTACTAATATTAACATAACAAAATGTGTCAATTACATAATACACTCGAACGGTTTAAAACGCGAAATATTAAAAAAACAGTTTTACTAATATTTCGAGTTTTTAAGCGTTAGAGTGTTGTTTGATGTTAATATTAGTAGTAGTGATTCATTTAAAAGAATAATTATTTATAGCGAGATCGCAGGTTTGATTCTTGTCAATTAACTACAAAAAATATTATGTTAAGGACGAAAACTTAAGCATTTTAACTCATAACCTGCCAAATGGAATGAAGTTATAATCTCACCTGAGGATAGACCATATTGTAAGGCTGGTACCCCACGTTGGGGCAGACCACGGGGTACATGTCGTGGAGCATAAATTTGGGCGCGGCCGGGTTGGCGATGGGGACGGTCGACGGAATGCCCTGCCACTGAATCGGTTCCTGATATGTCTGGAATACAATACGATTTATTAATAGTGTGTAAATTTTTGTATATAAGATTATTTACAGTAATAATTACAATTTCTTATGAAAATATTATCAAGTATATAAATATAAAGTAATTGTTGTCCATGCTCTTTTTATCGTTTGTAGTTAACGCGAGAGTAAATTGAATAAAATTTTTAACGGTTTAAAACGCGATAATAATTAGTTAATTTTTAACAAGAACCACGACCATCGGTGCCCCTTGGCCGATTGCGAAGGGCATCCGAATAGGTTTTAGTATAAAGCTGAAGAGTTTGTTCGCACGCGTTAATCTCACGAACTACTGGTTCCAATTGAAATATCTTTTTGTGTTGGTTAGAGCATTTATTGGCGAAGGCGCGAAGGAACAGCGGGAAATGTTAAAAAAACGGGAAATTATTCGTCCACTGAAGATGTGACGTGACCACGGCTGCTGCAAAGCATCCGAAACGTCGGGCCGAAGTTAAAAATCATTTTCAAATAAGTTTAATTAATATATCGCGTTTTAAACAGTTAAATTGTTTTATTTAAATGTGTACTACTTAGGAACTGTAAACTATAGATAGTATTTAGTTTAATATAACTGTGTGTGTGTGTGTTATACAAGTGTATCGAGGCAAACTAAAAGAAAATAAAATATACTTATTTTCTTTTATTATACTTTAAAAAAAAATTAGATTCGTCAAAAAACATTTAAAATGTTTGTCTCTCCGTTCGTCGTGATTCATATACAGAGTGTTCAAAAGAGCAACATAACTGAGAAGAACACGATGTCTTATAAACTAATATATTGTGAATTTATTAATTTAGGAACTCTTGTCATTAAAGAAATCGTTCAGACAATAATACGCCTTTTGAAACAATCTAAATTTTATAACTTTTTAAAATTCATTTATCGATAAATCGGAAACCTCAACAGGCAATGTATTATACATACGAATACAATTCGATATTTTATGGAGCCTATATTTGAGGATAGCTATTCTTATTTCGTAAGTAAGGCATAGTATTACAGCAAGCAAGGTCTAAAACTGTTGTGAGAATAATATTTTTTTAAATAAATTTGTGAATAGGTCCACTTACCGGATAATGCTGTATAGGCGGCTGCAGTATAACGTTCGGCACGGGATACGTCGGCACCACAGTCGGCACCTCCACTTGACCATAGCCCATATTGTACCTGAAATAATATTACTTATCACAAAAGTGTTGGTCGACTCCATTTGATCAACTACGTGTCTGTCAACATTTATGAGTACTACAGACACAGATATTTATCTTTTTGACATGACCCACATGGGGAAAAGGCGCTTTTACTTTTTTATACAATAAATAAGCGAGATTTAAACCAACATCTCATGGTCAATACCTAATTATCAACGAGTCGCGGATTCCATCCCCACCAGGTTTAACATATTTCTAATCAATATATCTTAAATTAGTTGGACTTCGTCTGGAAATCTGTATTAAATAGGTGGCAGGAATATCGCAATTCTGTCCAGGTCACGAACCACCGTTCACAGATAAAAGAGCCGTCAAGGTTAATCGCGATCCGGTTTCAGTCTGGATTTTTGGATCCAAAGCCGAAATAGGCCGACAGCGCATCTGGTTTAGATGTTATCTGTCTGGGGTATGCCACCTAACATCAAGTGAATAAAAAAGAGATATGGCTCTCAAAATTTTCTTCATTTATAAAATATAAACATTGATAATACGAACCCACGCTGCAAGACCGGTTCCTGACATCCGCTGTACGCGTTGAACTCCGTCGGGTATGGGTAACTGGGGTCTAGAGAGGAAAGAACATTCTATAGTAGTTTCAAACTATGGTCGTCACCTAGGAACAGACCCACTACGGCTCAACCAGTACGAGATGCCAATTTGTGTGGGGGGTAAAGGGAGGGTGAAAAGGCACTGAAGCACGACATAATATTGCGTCGTGTCACAGTACAATATGCCATGTTACGTAGTCAGTGAGCGCCGGTCCTTAACATGCTCTCGAGTTCATGTTATTTCAAAATTACCTGCTGATACCGGAATTTGTCTGACAAACGATTTCTAATACAGAACATTTCGCCGGACCCAGCATTCAAACCCAGGTCCTACTGCAGTGTTACCCTTATTATTATTGTAAACCATCTTTAAGGCTGTGACAATATTCTTTTTTGCTTGTTTGTTTCTCCTAGTGAACTATCGTTGTATGTAAAAAAAAGACGAAAGAATGTATTGTACCTATCCGGAATGTATTATCTGTGTGCGAAGGGGGCATGTACGACGGCTTCTGTTCTTCCGGCACCATCATTGGCTGATACATCGGCTGCATCTGGTGGTCCTGTAAGTTATTAAAAATCTATTAAGACGTTACGTAATTTTAAATGAACTAATATTAGAGTAGAAACCTAGTAAAAAGAATATATAAATAATAGATGAAAGTAATTGGTATCATGAAAGCCGTATACAATTTAGGCTTATTCAAATTTTTAAAATTATTATACGTTTTTATAATACAATGTTCACAATTGTGTTTCACCAGCATATATAGGTATATTTCCCACAAATTTACAAAGAATAATTAAATCCCAAAATCCAATTAATAAGAATAAAGATGCCAACACTTTGTATCCTTGTTCTTAATATGGAATTGTGGAAACGAGACAATGCTCTAATAATTCAGACGAGATGGAAGTTTGCTTACGCGACTAGTAAGTAATCTAATAGGGGAAAGTCGCGGCACGGATGTTTAGCACTAAACGAAATGTAGAGGGGATAGTAGCGCATCTGTAAAATCTCGCGCACGTAATTGATTGGAAAACGTGACTACTCGAGAAGCAAGCGCAGCGTCGTATTGGTCCGAGAAAGACAACACGACTGAGGAACCAATCAACGCTAGCGCACATGACGTTCACTCGCCCCGCGCCCGCTTCCGTCCCTGCGATACCTTATTTTTGACTTCTGCGCAGGATTCGTTCAACGCTAAAGATCCGTGCTGCTTTTTATAATATAGGTTTTAACCGGCCACGTGCGAGTCGTTTTCTTCCACAGTAGGTTTTTACTGTGTCTGATGAAGGCAAATTATTATATTTTGTTCTTACCATTCTGCAGGGAGTGACGTACTGGTATGCTTGAGGCACTGGATACATCACGTTCGTCACCGATAGTGGCCCTGAGAAATATTTATCAATTTTTAACTGAAATTTACGAGCGTGGGTACTAAAACAGTTTACGGTAATTTCGTATATTATTTATAATAGAGGACCCATATAACATCTAAACAATATTTTCCAAAGCCAAAATAGGTCGGCAGCACAACTTTTTTTAAGTGCCTGCTGGGGCCTATTTCTACAATGAAGTGAACCCCAGGCTGGTCTATCCTCCTCTATCGTTAAATAAAAAAGAAAAAATATACTTACTAATATTGGGATCGTGTATGGGCAAAGGAGTAGCTTTGTTCTGTGCTAACATTTGCTGTGGCTCTGGTTCCTGATAGTTCACGGTATGCATGGCTAACGGTGGCGTGACCTGGGACAATAGATATTAACATTAGTTCATAATGTCCCAAGGGTGGATCAATCAGGCATCTAAATGAAAAATCTATATAGATTGAAAAATACACCAAATTTACGACACGGGCTGAACTCGAATTTACATCCACAGAGATTCGTGCTGTTGCTTAACCAATTGAACTACCGTGTCCTACACGTCGTATTTTTCTACCTATTGATACAAGCAATGTAATTTCAATCTTAACCCGTCGCGTTAAGGTTGAAATGAGGTTTGAGTTGTAATTATTCGATTTTTACTTACAAACATCAATATAAACTAAAAAATATATCTCTTTCTCCAGTTGGTCAACCCAGAAGATTTTATGTGTAAAGTTAATATGTATATCAATATCAACTATTAATTCGCCTTGCCAAGGATCAAGTGATTTTAATGACATTGAGCAATAAGAATATCTAGTACAAGTCTGCTTTCTTGAAATGATTACTTTACTAAAGAGTTCTTGTCTCGGAAAGTAATTCTTGTTACAAATGGGAAATGAATGGAATTAAGTGAATTGAATTGAACTGAAAAAGTTACCTCATCATTCCTATATCCTGGCATATAATTCTGATTGTATTCCACATGCTGGTGAAACTGAGTTTCGGGAGCTTTCCTTGCCTGATTTTCGAACGTTCTATTTTCAAAGACCGGCCGCTGATTGGTCGACTCGTAGAACCTCTGATTGGGCGACTCAACTGCCGGTACTTGATTGGTCGGCGGCGAGTTTTTCCTTTCGAACTGCGGTCGAGCTTCAAACTTTTGAGATTCGAATGACTTTTGCGGTTTTAACGGTTTCTTGCTCTCGACCGGTTTTTGGTTTTCGAAATTCGAATTTTGAAACTGCCGACTCTCTATTATTTTCGGTTGGGCTTCGAATGCTTTTGGTTCGATTTCCGGTTTAAGATTGATGGGTTCCGGTGAAGATTCAATCGGTTTCCGGCATTTCGCCGGACTGTTTGGTACTGAATTGGTTTTGGACCCTCGAGGTGATTTCTGTGGGAAGAATTTATTTAAGCGAGTATAAGCTTAAGAGCCCGCGAAAAGACAAAAAGAAACATAATTGAAGCAGCAATTTTAGTTTTCTTAATTTATAAAGAAATTGACTAAGAACTAGTAATGAGAATAAGGTAAATAAAAACCCTGAGAATTATACATACCTTATCCGTACAACACTTCTGATCACCATTTTGTTGACAATCACAACAACATTTCCTGCAGTCACTAGAACAATCGCACTCTGAAATATAATAAAAATACAATAAAACATCACATTTTTATATCCTTTTAATGGCAAAGTTATCAAGTACAATTTGCTTTTTTGAAGTCTACTATGCAAACAGTTTTTATAAACTAAAATATATAATGATAAAGCATAATTATCTTGTACCTCCAATACTATACAAGAATTATTAGAAAGAGACAACGATGGATATCGTGCTTTCTTTCTACATTTCGTGACTGTTACTTACCATTGGCCATAAACGAATGTTGCTTTTCCAATTTCCCTCTTCGTTTCTCATTAACATCATTCTGGAAAAAGAAAATTAAATGGTTTTCAACACTATTCAGACGTTGTACATACATACATCCTTAATATGATCTTGTAAACTATACTACAGATAAAAAAACAACTTAATATATTTATGTGACGATTATGTCTGTCAATTATACCAAAACATGACCCACTGACCTTATCATTGTAGACTACGGGCGGATTAGCAGGATCGAAATGGTATATTGATCCATCTGGATTCGTTAGAGGACGGCCTGTCTGTAAAAAAAACAGTAAATATACTAATGGTGAATATCCATTTCAGGCCACAGACGGACAATATAAATTGGATGTAGAAAGGTGTACCTGTGGATGTATAACTACAGCTCCGGGCGGCACAGACGATAAATCCGTGACAGCCCAGACGAGGGTCGCAGCTTCGCTTCCCGGCTCTGGGCTAGCGCCACCTTTAAAATGAAACACAGTTACGATATTAGGTAAGGAAAAAATTAAATTGCGATGCACCCAAAAAACCAACAAGCAAATAAAAAATACATTAGGTTGTATCTGTCGTTCACTTGTAACTTTAAATAAATTAAACAATGTTTAACCGGTTAAAACTGAAGCTATACTAATTGTAAAGAATTATAACTACCGACTCAACTTTTCGCCATTAAATTAAAAATATTTTATATACTGCGCAATGAACACGAAACCAAGAGAAGACAAAAATACATTTAAATTCTAGTCTTCATCGGACATTTTTAATCCATATGTAAAAAAAGTCACCAGTAGGCGATGGTGTTACGGAGTCAGTACTTCGCAAACTCAGCGTCTTATATCCAGAACTTGACGGGGACACGCGCCAACTGCTGGAAGCCAGGTCACCTGGAACGAATTAAAAGAATAATTTAAATAAATGTAGAAACATGTTTCTTATAGGACACCATTTCTTTGTCTATATCCCTGATCGATTTTGTTTACAGATCAGACTTCTGTTGCCTTCGCCCAAAACTACTTATACTAGGTTTTAAACCACATGTCTATTTATGAAAATATAGTTATCATTCGCGAAATATATCCTGATAGAAGGGCCGACAGTGGCCACTTAGCGATCAGTGGTTTTTCCCCACGGAAGGCAGTTCGTTGTAAATCAAAAGAGTCGAATGTCCTAAACCTCGCAAGTCAATATATTTGTGAAAATGTTCGTATGTCAGGAAAAACGTAGATACTTTGAAAACGAACGGACATTTTAATAAGGACACATAAGTGTACCAACCAGAAGGCTCCGTAGTAATTCTTTTCAAGTTATTTGTATACGATATTTTAATACAAGCCGCAGTGAATTAGTTAATTTAAACTGTAATACAAAAACTTATTGGGAAAGGTTATTATTTGCAGTTGAAAAGTACGACCTTGAACCTAAATACGCAAGTGTTAAGGTTGAAATTACATTGCGCGAGAGGTGCATGTATCAATGCGTTGAAAAAATTCGCCGAAGGGGGAAGACACGGTAGCTCAATTGGTTAGACTTTAGAGCAACAGCACGGATCTCTGTGGACGCCGGTTCAAGTCCCGGTCACGTCATCGAATCTTCTCGATCTAATAGGGATGTGATTGCGTGACTAAATGATCACCTTGTTTGCTTAGGAGTCTCGGCTGCTGAGGTTCAGCCGTGTACCCGCCGAAGCTGTGGCTCTTGGAGACGGGCCCGCGCGTTGTGGACTCTTGCGGCTCCCGAGTTTCCAAAGACTTTACCTACAATCGATTTACAGAATGCTTAATTATTGTGACCCCAGGGAGGTGTGTCTGCACCGTTGCCATGGGGTCACATTTTAATTTATGCGCCATGCCTGTGAAACATGGGATATATTTTGTAATTGATACCCCGGACCTCGCATGTTAAAAGAATTATTTTGTATTATTAAAAGCGAATTGACAAACTTTTCTTTCCAATTAAAGAAATGGAATTTTTAATTATTAGATTAGAAGGAGAAAAGGTTAGTTATATATTTAGCTACATATATAGGCGAATATAAAGATTTTAAATGAAATCATTTTTAACGGTTTAAAACGCAAAATGTGTAACTTGTTAACAAAATTATTTTCTACAACGGCCCGATGTTTGGGACGGCCACGGCTCCACATTACGCATTTAAAACCTTCAAAAGTGTATTTCTCGTGTAAACTACAGACAATATTTAAATTGTTATAATAATAATAGTAGTAAACAAATAAGTACTAAAATCCACAAATATTTCTACACGCTGCGGAAAAAGCTATTTAGCCGTTGAATCATGCAAGAAAGAACATTTACATAAAACAACTCTTTAAAACGCGATATCATTAGTTAATTTATAATTGGGTCCAATGACGGATGCTTTGCAGCAGTGGTCACGGGAGGTACCGTTAAGTGTTTTATTTAAATGTGTACTACTCGCGTAAACTACGTACAATTCTACAGACAATACAACAGTTTATTTTTATTATAATACTAAAAATCAAAATAATACATGTGAAATACATATATACATTTTTATAATAGTGTTTAAATAGATTTATTAAAGCTATGAAGTGGTTTTTAACACTTAAGTCGAGATGTATACAACCTAGACATAATTTTTTCAGAAGCGTTCGGCTACCCTTATCAGGATAGGTGCATGGCAATAAATAAGATTTTTTTCTTAACAGAATAGAACAGCCAAGCCCACCCATATACGCCGCCGAACTATTTTGGCTTTGGACATTTGAAAATCCACAGACAAACTTAAGGGTTTTTTATCTGTTGTGCTACTCCTACCATCCATTCAATATACAAAATTCCAGACGAAGCCCAACATGTTTCAGAAAAATTATAAATTAGTTGGACCCAGTGAGGATCCAACCCACGACCCGTCGATTATTATATAACATGGCAGTCAAGTCAAAATGCATGCCCCAAAAGTGGACACTGGATTCAACGGCATGATTTTAATATGCAGACTGCACATGCCATGCTCCATCTAACAAAAGGTGTATGGTGTATGTTCATACAGATATATATGCAGTGCCTCGCTTATAGTATATACCTTTACAAGCTTATTTCTGCCTCCATCCGGAGTGAGCAGTTTGACCGGTCCGGATGGAAGCCACGGCCATTGGTTTTCGTCCTGTGAGCAATTCTCCTAAAAAAGCAGTCAACGATTTAAGGTGTACTCCCAATTGTGGGATTATTATTCAATTATCCTCGTAGGAAACCTGGTGACCGGTCTATATGCATACTTCATGCACATTCCCACTCTGCAAGGGTGGGTAACTTCCCAAACATATGTGATAACTTTATATTTCATAAATCAATTAAGTTATATAATATATGCTTTGGCAGCCGATCACCAAGAACAACTTAGGCAAGATGGAAGGTCAATTTTAGTTTAGATTATTAAGATTCAATTTGCAACTCTCACGATAGTCGGTTTAATAGGTTTATCACTAAAACGGTACTCGTACACACAAATATGACTGACAAAATCATATTTGATTTTGTCAGTTTAGAATATATTGACAAAATCATATTTTGTGTAGAATATATTGACAAAATCATATTTTATTTTGTCAGTTTGGTGCCTTATTGACCAAGTCGCTATTGATAATTATGATTTGTAAATTAAAGATAAATGTATAAATAATTACTATTCCATCCTTCCAATATACATTTACATTTAGTAGAACCCAAATCCCTTAATTACACAGATAATTTCCCAATACTACTCCCCACCACCAAAATTGTGTGGATTTAGAGGGTGCCAAATGAGACTCGCCGTCTCACTCTTACCGCCATGCTGAATATCCTCCGTCTCGCTTTCTCGTAGTCGCGCTCGCGCTGTTCGAGCGATTTACTCCGCGGCGCGTCCGCCCCGCCACCACTCGCTTCGGACACATTCCCGGAACGCTTGAGTATCGATCTGATGAAGGAAGCGTAATTTCAAATAAACCACTTTTAACGGTTTAGTTCATTGATTTCAACTACGGCCTAACTTTTGGGATGCTTTGCAGCAGCTGTGGTTGAAAGTTCTTCATTTAAATGTACTACTCGAAAAAATATTTAAACATAATGTATAAAAGAAAAATAACTACAAAGAGTATTAAAAAAAACTCTCGCTTTCTCCAAAAATTAGTTTACGTAAATCCCGCTAGACTCGAGGGACTCTGAAAGGAGGGACCTTTCCTACAGCTGCCAGAAAATATAAACCAATCGTACTATACGAAACTGAAATTATACTAATAAACAAAAAAAATCCATACAACAGCCGAGAAAAAAAAAACGATTTTTTTGCCTGTTAAATAATCGATGGACACAGAAATGTGTTCACCCCACAACCAATGGGGGGAAACGGGATTTTGCTTTTTAACAGTAGTATGGTGTGGGTATTTAATAATCTGTTTGTCTGGCATTTAAAGACTCCAAATATTTTATTAAATATTGTAAAATTGGGATGAGTATCCTACGTTTGGGAGACGGATTTATATTGCCGTTTTACGCATTAAAAGGCTTACGATAAAAGTTATTTTACCATACGATTACGAATCCCGTTCAATTATGTACAGTAGTGTGTAGTATATATTCGATATTGCGGGTAGGATGTTGATAAACGATAAGGAATTGCAATAAAAACATAACATTAATGTATGCTATAGGATAAGGATACAGTATGCCAAAATAAATATTTGTATTTATACTACTAATATTATAAAACTGGAGAATTTGTTTGAACGCGCTTTTCTCAGGAACTACTGGTTCGAATTGAAAAATTAGTTTTGTAATGTTTAGACCATTTGTCGTTGAAACCTCCACTCGAATAGAAGCGAAAAACAGAGGGAAATGTAAAGAAACAAAACGGAGAATGATTTTAAAGATAATCTTTCGACCGTACATCCGTTGGGTGAGTTGCGAATAACGATTCAAGAAACCAAAAAATATATATTCAAGAATTATTCCTTTATTTATAAATATATTTATAAAGCTGAAGAGGTCCCAATTATGCCCTAAATAACGAAACGAAATCCACGAAAACGGAGTCGCGGTCACAGCTAGTAAGAATATACATTAGATGTGTTAATTATGATTAATTTATTAATTATGCAAAGTGTCTAAATATTATTTATAGAAATAATCCTTCCATTATAATAATAATGTTACGTAAAATCATCTACCAAAAAACTTACTTAATTAAACGTGCACCATCTCCTCCCATTGCAGGGTATAAACTGAATTATTCTTTAAATACTAAATAAGTTACAAAGCTCGCAACGCAAGTTACAACTGTATTATAACCTCAAATAGGTACACAATCCTATAACAGAGTCATAGACAGCTAACGCCATCTATCGTCCAGTGGCGGTATTGCAAACGTCATAAAATCGCTACTTGTCAAGTAAGAGTAGATATAGCAAAGACGCGTCAAATTTAAACAATGATACAGATAATATTTTAGTTATATTGCTGTCTGTGATTGACGTGGTTACGGCGCATTAACATAGATTTAAACGGCTTGAAACTCGAAATTTTAGTTTACGCATTTTGACTCTGTTGCTAATGTTTTTAGGAGGTATTCTAATAACTACGTTATAAGGATATTTTTATGTATATACATAAAAAATACCTTTTTTTACACAATTTAATGAAATATACATATTTTATATTTCAAAACACATTTTCAGGACAAATTTATAAATTAAACCTTAATTTTTAGCGGTGAATCATTACCGTTGTCCGTACGTTGAATTATTTATGCATTTTATCATTGTACTGTTGTTGTAGTATAGTATAGTAAATATGGTCACGCGCAAATAAAAGTTAGTAGTTGTTTCCACTATATAAAATATAAAATTGAAATATTCCGACACGGGCAGGACTTCCGAAGCGGCATCCACAGCGTTTCGTGCTGTTGCTCTAACTAATTGAGCCACCGAGCCAACCAAAGCTTGATTTTTTCAATTTCTAATTTATATAGCGCCATCGTGTGCAATAACATTTGAAAAAGTGGTAGTAGTAGTTGGTAAAATGGTATTATTGCTTTTGCTGAAGCTGAGAAACTTACTTAGCGAGCGTATCGTCGTGCCTCCGGGGCGGTGACTTGGGAAAGACTCGGGTGCACCACTGTTTAAAACTGGTGCACGGCACCCGACCACCGCTAGTACCTGTTGTTTATGCTAATGTTATTTAATTTATAAAAACGCCATCTGGCGGTTATTTTCTTAGATTACTCTTTGTTATTCAATTTAATACATTTTTATATATAATTGATAAGTATTTATATCCATTAATAATAATAATAAAACACTTTATTGCACAAACAAATACAATACAAATATAGTAAAACTAAAATAGCTCCTCATTAATATAGTTATTAAATATACCGACCGAAGAGATGCAGATAGGGGAACATGTCAAACAATACCCTGCTCCTTGGTTCGAATTCCATGGAAACAATAGTCTGTTGCAGTTGGGCAGGGCACAGAAGCTTTGGTTATTCGGAAATGCCCAAAATAAGGGGATTTTGGGTATCTTTGTATCTATGACCTATGTTATAATTATTTTAAGGTTCACATATATAGGTTTCCGTGTCATACTCACCACTCTTAGAGACCACGACACAGGTCTTGCTGGCGTGGTCGATGTGGTGCGCCAGCTGGAAAAGTGCTGCCACCCGGTGGACCAGCATTCGGCCGTATGACGTCATCACGGGAAACCTGACTATGCAGCGGCTGTAGACAGTCAAAGCTTTCGATTTTTATATACGGGTTAATGAAAAAGAACTTTCAACGGTTTAAAACGCGAAATAAATTATATTTACGATTCTTTGCAGCAGCAGTCGTCGGACTGACGTGGACTGTTAAATTATTATAATTCGCGTTTTAAACCGTTAAAATGTTAAGTACTCGCGTAAACCATAAACAATATAACACGCAGAGATGAAACAAATAGGAAGATAAGCAATTTTAATTTTTTACAACAAATTATGTGTTTGTTATGTTTTGTTTGTTTTTGTAATTATGTGTTGTGTGTGTGTTATATAATATAAATTAATAATTTAAAAATTCCCAATGTTAAAACCTGTTTGAATTACAACTTCAATACTTTTTCCTTAAATAGGCTTACCCCACATCGTTGACTAGCGCGTGCAACTCCTTCTCGATCCTCAACAATGTGATTCTGTCCTTTGGATTTTTGTTCAGCGTGTCCTTGAGGAAATTCACGAGATCCTGCTCGGTGAGTTCAGACTTTTCCTCTGCAAAATATAACTTTGTTAATCTGTAGATTGCGAGTATATAAAACGTTTTAACGGTTTCAAACGCGAACTGTAAAAGTTAATTTTATTTATTTTTTTGCTACGACACAACGGTTACAGCGGTCGTGAAGACATTGTAATAAATGCCATGAACCAAAAACGTCGGGTCATATTTAGAAATGTAAATATTCTTTAATTATTATTAGTAAATAATGCAATGACCCCATTAAGCTCAGCTATAGTAAAACATGAGACGGGTTGTAGTTAGAAATAGGTTAACATTTCGCTAATATATCGCGTTTTAAACCGTTAAAAGTAATAACACAAGTACAAATAAGACTATTATTTCAATGTAGTTTGCGTAAAAAAATTAAACAACACTTGACGGTTTAAAAGAAAAATATTAGTTACTATAACGGCTGCTGCAAAGCATCTGAAGCGTCCGGTCGTGGTTAAAGTAAAATTAACAAACCGAGTTAATTAATGAGTTTCACATTTCAAACTGTTAAAAGTGTTTTATTTACATATGTACTACTCGCGTACATTAATTTTATATGTAATAAGTTTTTGACTTATTTAAATTCTCACTGAATAAAAGCGATTTTAACCTACTTCTGACAAGTACTTACCTGTCTCGCCGCCAGCCAACGCGAGCGTCTTAAGTTTTTCTCTCCTCTCGGGGCATCTGGAGACATACAATATTTATATTATCATAAATAAAGTCCTACGACTGAAAAGGCATCCACAGCGGTAGAATTACTACTGTACTTGATTATTCTTATTTATTATGTACTAGCTGTGCCAGCGACTTCGTCCGCGAGTAGAACAATGATGAAACTTTCTTCTTTGGCTTGAATAGGAATAGGAGTGGGAATGGGAGTGGGAGTGGGAGTTAGAGTAGGAGTGATGTGAGGTGAGAGTGTTGCGGCAAAGTAGCATTTACAACATAGATTGGCTGCGATAAATACGCAATTACATAAATTAATAAACAGCCGAAAAAATTAAAAATTCTACCCCAAGTCACTATTACACGCGAACGACGTCGCGGGCACAGCTAGTTTAATATTAAATACATCAAATTTTAATTTACATTACCTGCAATAAAATACTGGTTCATCTACATCTGTGCCAGCAGATCTTCCATTTGAACCTGAAAGCATTAGATTCTTTAGTCCACTCATTGGCTCGTTGCTCTAATGATAGAATTTTTGCCTAATATTCAACGGGTCTTGGATTCGATCCCCACCTGACCTAACATGTCTCTAATCAAATACTGTCTACAGTTTACGCGAGTAGTACACGTTTAAATAAAACACTTAAGCGGTTTTAAACGCGATATATTAGTTAAACTTATTTATTAAACTCAGTCTCCCCGTGACCACGGCAGCTGCAAATCATCCGAAACATCGGGCCGAAGTTAAAAATCGTTTTTAAATAAGTTTAACTAATACACCGCGTTTTAAACCGTTAAGTGTTTCATTTAAATGTCTCTAATCAAGTTATCTGAAATATGTATATCATCTGGAAAATTTTGTTGCGTCCGGATCACGAACCAACGTCTACAGGTGAAAAAAATTAAACTGTAAGGCTATCTTTCAGATTCAAGATTTTAGTTTTATATATAATAGGTTGATAGCACATCTTTTTATTTCGTTCTCTAAATGTTATTAAGGGTTGTTCAAATCCTGGGAAAATAATTTCAGCTCATTTCAAATGAGATTTGATCAGTTTAGTCACCGTTCTTCATTTCGTCCCAAGTCCCATACCCCATTCTTACCAATATTATCAGCCTCCGAGCAATCAGGACAATCCACGGAGCATACAACTCCTGAATCCTGCTTCATCGCGCATATTGTTTTTCTCTTTCCCCTGAAATCATATTAATAAACTGAAATCAAATAAGTTTTTTTACAGTATTTAAAATCTGTAGAAAGGAACGTTGACTTGAATCTTACCTGTCGCACACGAATGTTACAAAACTATAAAAACTAAGTATTTTCTGCTCTTTGAATGGGTTTCTATATTAAAGTAAAACGGTCTTAACCACGAAATATTTTAAATTTTAAACTAATTACTATGCAATAATCTTTAGAATTGAAGATGGAGGACGTGCCTAATGTCAATGTCAAGTTGGCTATGCTAGCGCCCCCTGTTTCGCGACCCGTGACCACGACTGATGGAGAGCTTCCTTAACGTTGACACGTTAAGAAGCTCGTAGTTAAAAGTAGGTAATATATTTTTTAACTATTTGTTTATTAATGTATATGTTAAAATTATCACTTTAATATTTTTCACCTGTTATTGCACAAGACGGCGCTATATACATTTAAAATCGATTCTATATAGAAAAAAGTTTACGACGCGGGTAGATGTTGAATCGGCACGTACCTGTTGCTCTAACCAATTGAACTACCGTCTGCGTACGTTGATTAGAGCAACAGCACGGAATGCTGTGTATGCGGGTTTAACTCCTGCTAGGTCGTAATTTCTTTCACTATAGCATCGTTTTTTACTGTATGTCCTATGTCCCACAAAGTGGATGATCGTACCTGCACTGTGGACAGGCGCATTTTCCGCAGACACAAGTAACGCGAGGGTTGTACGAGAGGAAGTCCCTCGAAGAATCCGAGTGCGGCCTCTGCCCGAGCCATCTGCGCGTGCGCACCCGCTGTTCGCTGTAGTTCTCCTCCCATCCTCCCGACGTTATCTATTCAATTAATAATATTTATAAGATGGAAGACACGTAATAATTCCTTTTTCCGGTTCACTTGATGGTAGGTGAAATACTTCAACGAAATAACATCTAAGACATGCGCGGTCGACCCATACTAGCTTTGAACATTCAGAAATACGACTAAAGCCAAAACACAATTACACAGGTTCTTAATCTTTGGATGGTGGTTCGGGACCCGGACGACATTGCGATATTCCTACCACCTATTAATATCCAATTGAATTTCAGATGAAATTTAACGTGTTTCAGACAGTGTTAAAATTTAACGCAAACATGTTGGACTAAGTGGGACTCGAACCCATGACTCGTTGATTATATACATACTTAAACGGTTTAAAACGCGATGTATTAGTTAAACTTATTTGACAATGATTTTTAACATCGGCTCATTTCGGATGCTTTGCAGCAGACTGACCCGTAAGTTTAACTAATATATTTATTTAAATGTGCACTACACGCGTAAACTATAGACAGTATTTAGCGATAAGATGATCAAAAATTTGTCATCCATGTTACATGCTTTACGTCTGTACCTGTACACCGTACGTGTGTATTTGTAGTATGTACACTGTACGTCTCACCTGTATCTGTACCGGCAGCTTATTGTCATCGCAAATGACGTTAGTGACGCTGCGGACGTGACCCTCCTTCGGATCCACGTCGACAGCCTCGGGGCTCGATCCCACGCGACCCGAGTCGTAGGGCGAGGCGGTGCGGGGCGGGGACGTCGATTCCCGTATCGCCTGACTGCGCACGAGTTGTTTCGATTTGAAGCTCTGGAATAAACAATGAATTATAGCTAAGTTAACACGAATTAAATAAAGAAAGACTTAAGTATTTATCTATACTAATATTATAAAGCTAAAGAGTTTGTTTCTTTGTTTGTTTAAATGCGCTAATCTCATAAACTACTAGTTCGAATTGAAAATTTCTTGTTGTGTTTGTTAAAGCATTTAATGAGAAAGGCTCCACCAGCATGAGCAATAGAAGCAAAGAAACAGTGGGATAAAAGGGGATAATTCTTCTCCGTTGCGTGCGCTGCGAAAACGGTTCAAGATACCCAAAAAATATGCATAAAAGAATGTGTGTAGTAGATATTTAAAATTAACTGCACAAATTTGAACTAGTTCTTTCCGTAAAGGCCAATTCTCCATGGATACTGACGATCAACAACGAAAAAACTCAGTTCAAACTTAAGCCTATTTAAATAGTACGTACTCTGCTTCTAGTGAGTTGGCCGTCCTCAGAGGAACAGGCCTTGTCTAGTTCAGTATTTTCCATGGCTTATTCCTACGCTGGAACAAAGCAAAAGATAATGATGTCACTAGTGTTATGTGTAGGGTATCACATAAGGCAGGGAGTTCGATTCCAGTTGTGTATCAAAACTATTACTACATCAAAACAATACTATTTGTCTTTGTACACATTGCTATGTTTAAAATATCGACTTAAGAAAGAGGTAAAGGGGGGAAGGTGTGTCGTGTCATAGTTGTTGAATTTAGGTTTTAAGTGTAATTAAGCAATAACGTCCAAAATATAAACACATACCTCACTCAGAAAAAAGTTGTTATTTACAAAAGATTTTGGACCTAAGAGAAGGCAACTATGAGATACTAGTTAAAGCTCCTGGTTCGGCTCGTTCGTAAGCTCGATATGACGTCTGTGGTACGTGTCATTCTCCTACGTCAAGCCTCCGTCTTCAGTCTGTGCTTTTTCACTATCGTAGACGCCATTAATCTGTAATTATATGAAACCTTATTAGTGTTGTTAAGATTATCTAATAAGTATGAAAAAAAAATAATAAAACACGTGATTGTAAAATATTGGTTTTTAGTAAAATTGTTAAGTAAGCGGCGCCATTGTATATTTTATTGCAAAAAATAACCAGGATCCTCACATTATGTGTATCTCATATTTTATTTCTTTCTTATATGTTTTATAAAAAAGACCAAATCAAAAAACTAAAGATGTTTCCAACCTCTTTATTAGCCTATAACATAAATTACGAGGTCCCAGGTTCTAATGTCATTCTAGATTAAATGTCGCTTTGATATTTAATTTATGGTACAAGCCGAGAGTTTGGAAGTAGAACTAGTTACAACCCCGGTGAGTATTTACGTAAAAGCATCGGTCCAGGTTGTCACCGTGAAGTGACGGTAGTTGTTAAATTCACCTACCCACGAGTGGGTCTAACCCACTCGTGCACTTTAGCTAAGCGAAAGGAGATCTAGTGAAAATTAATGTTCAGACGCATATGAACGAGAACGTAGATCCAAAGAAGGCACTCCTTAGTTAAGTTTCGAGTGTATTTAATTCTATATATGCATATGCACGGTTGCATATTGTGCATTCAGTCTACAAACAAAAGCAAGGACGGAAACAATATTTTATAGCTATCACTTTTCGCACGACATCTTTATATTTCCTGCGTTTCCATTGTACAAACGGCCTACTAAGTCAGTATATGTAATGGAATAAAACACGTTAAACAAATAGGGCAAAATATATACAGAATACCTAGTACAATCCTCAGTATTGAATTAAAACGAGAAAAGTAAAAAAATATCTCTTGATAAACAAGACACATAAAAATATTAACGTTTTAATTCAGAAAAGGTAGAGTTTTTCTTGAAAAATAAAAATAAACGTATATAATAGTATTAGGAGCCATTGTAGTATATAAACATAGTATACCTACCTAACTTTTACCTTTGTGGGTTACAAAGGCAAAAGGAATCGTGCTTTTATTAGTCAATAAAACACTAACGGTTTAAAACGCGATATATGTTCATTAAAATAATTTTCAAATAAGTTTAACTAATATATATCGCATTTTAAACCGTTAAAGAATTGTCTTAATAAATAAATAAAATAAGTCTAGTCAAGTCTAATATCCACGAACTTGGTGCTTAATCCGTTGTCGTGTCGTGTGAGAATGGAAACTCGCAAAGCCCTGACCTCACGTCAAGCAAACGGCCCACTGTCAAGTTCACGACGCTATGCGTCACCAAATTATTTACTGATTTTACTTGTATATAATACTTTATATGACTCAGTGTGATCTATAGACAATAAATCGACGATATTTGAAATAGTTTTGGATAATTGCAATTTATTAAAAAAGGCGAGTGGACACAAACCATTACAAACACACGTATATATATACGGCTATAGGCTATAGGCCAGGAAAGATTGCGATGACTAATAGGAGCGAGGAAACAGCGGAAAATGTGGAAAATTATTCAACTTAGTGGGTTTCCAATGCGTACGCTGCGAAAAGGGTTTAGGTTACCCAAAAATGTGTATGAAAAACTGATTCCTCCTTAAATGATCTTAAAAAAGATATATAGTCTAAGATATGTATAGATAGATATCTGGGATATTTTTTGAGATCCCAGACACTATATATCTTTTTTAAGATTCAGGGGAACAGCTTGAATTTATAAAAATGAAGAGGACCTTTGCAAAATTAACTATTCTACGCGAAGTCGCTGACACAGCTATTAAAAAATAAAGATTAGCAAAACATATATGACAATTAAGTTTCAATACCGGGTATAGACCGTGCAGGGAGGCACCCAGCACGCGAAGGGTCAAACCCTAGGCCATCCGCCCAATCGGGTTCTGTTTTGGGACATCAAGGGTTACAGATGTTGCATGACATTGAACCTAAAAGACTTAACCTTGGATGTGGCGTATGGTTCAGCTTCTTGGCGTGCGATCAAATGTATTTCTATAACTAACATAATGACAGTTTTTTAAAATATTGTTCGCCGCTTCTAATTTCAAATGTTGGGCGATGTAAGCGGAAATGACGTCACGGGGGGGAAATTTTAGTCAAATAACGCAACGGGCGATTTCGTTAGTCCCTTCCTGTTGGCCTAGATCTAGATTCAAGCCGAGGTATATAAAGGTTTAACAAAATATTGTATAGTGTACACGAGTGGTAATAGTTCGTTTATTACCCAACAACAAATGTACCCCAGCCTATACCATCTAAACAAGATGTGCTGTCGATCTATTTCGGCTTCGGATATTCGTAATTCGAAACCGATTAAACTTCACAGCTATCTCTACGAACTGTCTGTCTGTGTTCATCATACTTTGATTGGAAAAATGGTGGACACAGGGGGGATCGGACCCACGGCCCGTTGATTGTTAGCCGTACATTGCTACCATTGCATCAACGAGCCCTTCTTAATTAATTGATAACTTGTAACACCGTATCTTATCTATTTGTGTACTGTTTTAAAATATTGTAACTCAATTTTATAAAACATTCATCTACCTCCAAATAGTTACTGAAGTTTACACTTCTTATTGTTAACATTTTAGTTATAATTTATGATATATTCAATTCTATTACATCTTTTTTTGTTTTTTATTTATATAAACTTATTTCTTGTTAACTTAGAACAAGACATCTATCTAAATTAGAAGCATTTAAACGTTTCTATTAAATAAAGAATTTAAAAAATCATTACAATTGAATATTGTCTATAGTTTACGCGAGTAGTAAACATTTAAATAAAACACTTTATCGGTTTAAAACGCGATATATTAGTTAAACTTATTTGAAAATATTTTTTAACTTCGGCCCGACGTTTCGGATGCTTTGCAGCAGCCGTGGTCACGTCGGGCCGTTATATCGCGTTTTAAACCGTTAAACGCGTTTTATTTAATAATTCAAATATTGACGATTTTTTGTAACGTCGTAACGTTTATAAAACCACATCCATTTTTATTAGTTTTACATATATAGTAGAACTTTATCAGTTGTCAGTACAAAGCAAGGGTGGACCATTTTCGACCCTCACAATTGAGGTTAACGGACATCGTACACGAAATCCGATTAACCCCAGATAGAGGGCTAATTTTGAATACCCACTGGACCTATACATACCACAATTCGTTTATATACAAAACATGGTATTATTTTAATGAATTAAAAATCGATGTTAGATTAAAAAAAAAAGTACGATACGGGCGAGACTTATGCCTTGCTTACAACAGCACGTGGATGCCGTTTCGAGACCCACCCGTGTCGTAAATTATTTTTTCAAACCAAAACCGCTTTTTATTTAAGATAATGCCATCATGTGCATATGTAAATATTAAAGTTTTCTATAGCTTTATGTTTTAAAAGTAGCTTTTAGATATAGCATGATTATAGTATAATGGCGAATTCAAGGCAAAATATTTCGACAAAGCATCTTGTTTAGATTTTATATGGCTGGGGTATACAGGCATGGGGTCCCTGCGCTGTCGACCTCTTTTGGCTTTGAATGTTCGAAAATCCACAGACGAATACCAAAACATGATTAAACTTAATGGCTTTTCCATCTGTGTAAATCTATACTTATATATGAAGCTGAAGAGTTTGTTTGTTTGTATGTTTCGATGCGCTAATCTCAGGAACTACTAGTTCGAATTGCAATTTTTTGTGTTGGTTAGAGCATTTACCGATGAAGGCTATAAATCATCGCCCTGTGACTAATACAAGCAAAGATACAGCGGGAAATGTGAACAAAATTGGGAAAATTTTTCTAAACTGTGGGTTTCCTACGCTGGCGTACCTAAGGTGTACCTGCGCTACAAAAAAAGTTGAAGATACCCAATAAATATGTAAAGATTTATTCCTCGTTAAATGATGTAAAAAAAGTCCGCTATAATTATGTCAATCTTTTAAGATTAACTTGCGAGAACGACGGGAATGCACGTGACCGACGTCGAGGCTTAAGTTTATAAAGATCTCGTGGACAAAGTCGCTGACACAGCTAGTAGCGTATAAAGCCATCAAGCTGACTAATGATGTACCGAGATCAAGATAGGCGTTGGGCGTGCCTTGAGCAGATTAACAAAGCCCTAGAATCGCGATACAGCAAGGTCGAGGCCGAGTGATTCACGCTGCAGGATGGGGGGTTGACTTCCCTCACCTTGGAGCCGACGGACTTGGTGATTTAGCGATACGAAATCTTTACTAAATACTGTATGCAGTTTACGCAAGTAGTACACATTTAAACGAAACACTTTAATGGTTTAAAACGCGATATGTATTTAGTTAAACTTAGTTGAAAATTATTTTAGCTATGGCCGACGTTTCGGACGCTTTGCAGTAGCCGTCGTCACGGAGAGACTGCTCTTTTATTTAAATCTTCACTAATAAAGCTGAAGAGTTTGTTTGCTTGAACGTGTTTATCTCACGAAATACTGGTTCGAAATAAAAAATATATATTTTTGTGTTGGTTAAAGCATTGATCGAGGAAATCTTCACGCCGCGA